GTCTTGTTTTAGTGAACTTGTCTCACGTTAATAAACCAGTGTGTCTGGCTGTGTTCCTTTCTTTATAGAAGTTGTGTCTGCAGCTTTTTCTCTGACACACAAATGTCTGATGCTCTGGAGTTGGGTCACTTTAGCACAGAATTCATGGTTATAAGATGCACAGTTCAGGTTAGGCACATTAGACCTCCAGACATTTTGCTTGCATCATGGTGCATTGCATACAGTACACACGGACAGCAAGTGTGAAAGTACAAATCATCTCATCACACAGGGGTTACTACTTTTCTTTAATGTGTCAAAGATGAATACCAGAGCTGTGTGTTTATGTCGCTAATGCCTCCGTTGCTGTCTGGAGCTCTGGTTTGTTACCACAAAGAGTTAAGCGGGAACACTTAGCTTCACCTTTGGCTGTTTGTTGTCAAACTATTGCTTGGCTCTGGTTCGTAGAGCTGACAATTAACAGTATGAGAGCATGCACACACACACACACACACAATAAGCTCTGCAGAAATTATTCCAAAGCATTTTACCACCACCTATCAGAATGTGGCAACTGGGCAATTTGTTTGTTCGTTTGTTTGTTTGTGTCATTTTACCATTGAGATAAAAAAAAAGAAGAGAAAAGCTTTGTTTTCATCAATCTTGAAAGGGGCATTTTAATTTGCTATAGAGTTGATAAAAAATATATTTTAAGTAGTTTTTTGTAAAAGCTTGTTGGTTCTATTCTTTTGTCACCAAACCTGTGGATTTCCTTCTTTTTGGATCTATTGTACCTGTGTATGTTTTTATATGTGTAAGTGTGAATACATGGTGAGTCTGCAGTGTGTGTACCAGCATTCAGTCAGTGCTGATATTCTGCCCTTCATGCAGGTTTGTATGATTAGGCCTTTGTGTCCTAATGAGTTCATATGAAACACCTTATGGCCTTCACCTCCTTTGTCCTGATTGGTCCCGAATGTCTCTTTATGTCTGTAGAATTACTATGTCTGTAAGTTGGGCTGAGGATGGTCCTTTGGAACGCTCACATTTGTTTCACTTTGTGCACATGTATTTTGGCATCTTGAAAGCCTCTTGGTCATCTTGTCAGTTTGCAGACACTTATGGGATTAGTTTAATATAGGTAATACAAATAATCAAAGGTTATCAGCCCTTGTTCAACTAGTTTTGCCAATCTATGCTGTTAGATTTCCTTGCCATTTTAACCTTAGTTAGTGCAGTTAGAAGCCATATAAACTATTAGCTGCAGATCCATCTTTAAAGTGAACTCCAAATATCACAGGGCAAACACAGATCATGACATCTTATCCATAAAGTCCTATTGAAAACACAACATGTAAATATAGTTTTCTGAACCATTTCAGCAGTCAACATGCAGTGATAAATGAAGCTGTGTAGGGTAACTGACCAGTTGTTTCCTCTGAGAACCAGCCTGCTCTTTGCTCTCTCTCATGCTATTTAACAGACTTGCTATTTCCTGTTGAGTTCTGACACACAACCACTCTGAACTGGACTATGATATTTTATGATAATCATCAGAAACCAATGTAGAACAGATAAAGCATCAATTTGCTAAAATACAGTACTGTCAGAATGAAAACTCAACCATATATAAATGAGACCTTAGCTCAGCTGAATAGCAGGGTAAGTTTTACTTTGTTCTGAAACCTTTATGATGTTTACAAGGTCTCAGTCTCAAATCAACGCCTCCATTCTGAGAAGGCTTGAATCATGCAGCCCAGAGGTCCTTATCAAATCTTTAGGCTCCAGTCTCTGTTTCCTCTCCCAGGCCACTACCCTCTCTGGAGACTACAAAGCCTGCTTCATGCTGCCTGGCAATGCGGCACTCAGAGGTAATGACCATTAAATGTTACTGTGTGACCAGATGCTGATTACATCTGGAGTTCAAGCCTGATGGTATTGTATGCAAGAAAACTAAACAAAAAAGTAGTCCGGTTCTAGCGATTAGTAGGGGATGGAGCAAAGCCCTAAAATATGCAGGTTAGAGTGCTTTTAAATGTTTGTTTTTTTTCTGGAAAGTACACAGGACAGATACAAAAAATCCCAATAACCTTATACATATACAGTGCCTTGGGAAAGTATTCGGCCCCCTTGAACTTTGCGACCTTTTGCCACATTTCAGGCTTCAAACATAAAGATATAAAACTGTAATTTTTTGTGAAGAATCAACAACAAGTGGGACACAATCATGAAGTGGAACGAAATTTATTGGATATTTCAAACTTTTTTAACAAATAAAAAAACTGAAAAATTGGGCGTGCAAAATTATTCAGCCCCCTTAAGTTAATACTTGGTAGCGCCACCTTTTGCTGCGATTACAGCTGTAAGTCACTTGGGGTATGTCTCTATCAGTTTTGCACATCGAGAGACTGAAATTTTTGCCCATGCCTCCTTGCAAAACAGCTCGAGCTCAGTGAGGTTGGATGGAGAGCATTTGTGAACAGCAGTTTTCAGTTCTTTCCACAGATTCTCGAGTGGATTCAGGTCTGGACTTTGACTTGGCCATTCTAACACCTGGATATGTTTATTTGTGAACCATTCCATTGTAGATTTTGCTTTATGTTTTGGATCATTGTCTTGTTGGAAGACAAATCTCCATCCCAGTCTCAGGTCTTTTGCAGACTCCATCAGGTTTCCTTCCAAAATGGTCCTGTATTTGGCTCCATCCATCTTCCCATCAATTTTAACCATCTTCCCTGTCCCTGCTGAAGAAAAGCAGGCCCAAACCATGATGCTGCCACCACCATGTTTGACAATGGGGATGGTGTGTTCAGGGTGATGAGCTGTGTTGCTTTTACGCCAAACATAACGTTTTGCATTGTTGCCAAAAAGTTCGATTTTGGTTTCATCTGACCAGAGCACCTTCTTCCACATGTTTGGTGCGTCTCCCAGGTGGCTTGTGGCAAACTTTAAACGACACTTTTTATGGATATCTTTAAGAAATGGCTTTCTTCTTGCCACTCTTCCATAAAGGCCAGATTTGTGCAGTATACGACTGATTGTTGTCCTATGGACAGAGTCTCCCACCTCAGCTGTAGATCTCTGCAGTTCATCCAGAGTGATCATGGGCCTCTTGGCTGCATCTCTGATCAGTCTTCTCCTTGTATGAGCTGAAAGTTTAGAGGGACGGCCAGGTCTTGGTAGATTTGCAGTGGTCTGATACTCCTTCCATTTCAATATTATCACTTGCACAGTGCTCCTTGGGAGAGCTCGAGCTGTTTTGCAAGGAGGAATGGGCAAAAATTTCCGTCTCTCGATGTGCAAAACTGATAGAGACATACCCCAAGTGACTTACAGCTGTAATCGCAGCAAAAGGTGGCGCTACAAAGTATTAACTTAAGGGGGCTGAATAATTTTGCACGCCCAATTTTTCAGTTTTTTATTTGTTAAAAAAGTTTGAAATATCCAATAAATTTTGTTCCACTTCATGATTATGTCCCACTTGTTGTTGATTCTTCACAAAAAATTACAGTTTTATATCTTTATGTTTGAAGCCTGAAATGTGGCAAAAGGTCGCAAAGTTCAAGGGGGCCGAATACTTTCGCAAGGCACTGTATATCTATATATATATATATTGATTACCTTGGTGGCTCGACAAAAGCTGGTAATGCAGGATGCATCATGCCCTGTGCACCAGGAGGGGGGCCACCAGACAACAAGTGTGTCACCCTAGTGGTGTAGTGCTTAAGGCTCCAATCATGAAGCACAGTGACCCTGGTCCAGAGGTGGTCCTTTGTTACAATGTGTTTATCTCTCCAGCCCCCACATCAGACCCAATAAAAAATAAATAAATAAGACAGACACTACTAGTTTTCAGTTGTATGTCTACTTCTCAGGTTCAAATGTGGGCAGTAGTGGCTGCGCTTTACTAAACTGAGAAGTAAGGGTTAGTTAAAGTGTATAGTATGTTGGCAACTGTTCCCAAATTGTAGAAATGTGGACTCAAAACTAGGAACAAGTCCAGGTATTACAGCTGCGTGTTAACTTTACACACACAACAGTTGTACTGAATCGAATGCTTTCATGGCCGAACGCACACTGTTCAAATTACATAAATAATGTGTCTGTTTGTCAGTATTTCCATCAGTAGGTGTTCCATCCATCCATCCATTTTCCTCCGCTTATCCGGGACCGGGTCACGGGGGCAGCAGTCTAAGCAAAGATGCCCAGACTTCCCTCTCTCCAGACACTTCCTCCAGCTCCTCCGCCGGAGCACCCCCCACAGGGCGCTGCGAGGGACACGGTCGAATGCCTTCTCCAGATCCGCGAAGCACATGTGGACTGGTTGGGCAAACTCCCATGAACCCTCCGCCACCCTGAAGAGGGTATAGAGCTGGTCCAGTGTTCCACGGCCAGGACGAAAACCGCATTGTTCCTCCTGAATCCGAGGTTCGACTATCGGTCAAATTCTCCTCTCCAGTACCCTGGCATAGACTTTCCCGGGGAGGCTGAGGAGTGTGATCCCCCTATAGTTGGAACACACCCTC